TAATGGAAGGAGCTCGTGGGTAGTGGTTGTGGAGATAATAACTTTTAAATGGAACTAATTCTTTGTAAAATGTACTACTTCATAGTTAGAAATGAGTTCAGATTTCCTAGATAGAGCTCAAAAACTTGGTTTTATCTAACATTTTATATGGGCCAGGTATTTCTCATTTATGACCCGCACAAGACCTCTGCAAACTATCATTTCATATTTTACAAATGCTAAAGCTCAAAATGTGGTAAAGTAATCTAGTTAGGCTATACTCAGAGGATAGTTGAAACCCTGACTTGTGCTCTTTACTTTTTTATAAGCAGCTCTCAGCTTTAGTCTGTAGTCCTCAGAGATATCTCTCAGGCTATTATTTCTAATAGCTTTACTGATGTTTATTCCTGTTATTCTTGTACTTGATTCCTCATTTGCTTCTTTATAGCAGAGAGAAAGGTGAAGTTACAACTGTATAGCTAGGAATTTCACATACTTATAAACTCCTGCCTGGGCTGGAGCCTGTGATGAATTACTGATAATGTTAGTAATTGTTAATACTGTGAGTTATTTTAGTGCTCTTGCTTTCTTGTTTTCTTTGTGCCTGTCCTGGGGCTTGAATTCAGCCTGTACACTGTCCCTGAGATTTTTTTTTTTTACTCAAGGCTGGCACTCTACCACTTGAACCATAGCTCCACTTGGTGGTTAATTGGAGATAGAGTCTCACAGACTTTCCTGCCAAGCCTGTCTTTGAAGCACAATCCTTAGATCTTAGGTGCCTTAGTAACTATGATTACAAGCATAAGCCTGTGCTTCAGAGCACACCTCTCAGTCTGTTCCAATAGTGACAATGTTGACTGGCACTTCATCCATTCTGGATGTTCTTGCTTTCTTAAAAAACTATATTGGAATTTATCAAAATCTAGATAAAGACCAGGTACCAGTGGCTCATGCCTGTAATCCTAGCTACTCAGGAGACTGAGATCTGAGGATTGCAGTTCAAAGCCAGCCCAGGCATGAAAGTCTGTGAGACTCTTTTCTCCAGTTAACCACCAGAAAACCAGAAGTGGCACTGTGGCTCAAGTGGTAGAGTGCTCAACTTGAGCTGAAGAGCTCAGGGACAATATTCAGGCCCAGAGTTCAAATCCCACAACTGACCAAAAAAATAAAAATCTAGGTAATTAGTTGCAATGAGTGTCCAGACAGTGAACATCTTTATCAAAAGGTAGCCAAAACTCAATGGAGAAAATGAAAACTAATAAAACTGGTGAGAAAAGTAATGAGGCAAAGCCAACTTGAGCTTTTTTCCTCTTGTTCATTGTGTGTGTGTGTGTGTGTGTGTATCTGTATCTAAAGTTACTTACAAGGGAAGTCAGTTTAAGTGATAATTGTGGGAACAATTACATATTTCTAATGCATTTTTATTTTCTTAGTATTAGTTCAGAAGCAGGCCTAGAGATTGATAGCCAGCAGGAAGAAGAACCTGTTCAGGCATCTGATGAGTCAGACCTCCCTTCTACTAGCCAGGATCCTCCTTCTAGCTCTTCTGTAGGTAAGTTTCTATTCCAATGCAACTTTCATACTTTACACTGGTTTGCAAAGACACTCATGAGAAATAAATGGGTAATTCCTTTTTCCTGGTTTTAAAATACTATTTTACCATTAAAGGGAACATGATTTGTAGTTAACTCATTATTAAAGGAATATTCTAGCACTGATAATCAGAAAGTGATCCTTCACAAAAGAATAGTTCATTTATGCTTCCAAAGGATGTTAATGTATATACTATAGACTTCGCAGGCTCCCTTAGGAGATGCTATAAAGGTTGTGGGGGATGAGCATACTGGGAAGGATGCTAAGGAGTGGTAGCATCTATTTTCAAATCAGAGTAGTGGTGGCATTTTATTTTTCATACATTTTACCATCCCATATGGTATCTGATATAAAGAATTAAGGGGAAGGGGCTTAGTTGCTTGAAGATAAATTTAGAATTTACTGATAATATAGTGTTACTGATTTTGGCTTCTCAGATTTAAGATGACTATGTTATTCCAACGTTTTTTAAAATAGTAATGAGCATTTATTGAACACTCATTATTTCAGTAAGTATTCCTTGCCCTTTATATATATATATATTTTTTTTTTTTTTTTTTTTAATCTCACAGCAGCCCAGTGTGGTAGCTATCATCATTTTACAAACGTAGAAATTATGGCATAGAAAAATTGAATGAATTTTTTTAGGTCCAATAGCTTATAGATAATGGACAAACAGGATGCAAATACAAGAAGTTTGGCCTTGAGACTCCATTTTTTCTTGTTTTTGTGTGTTTTTCTTTCTCTATTTTTTATTATTAAAGGTGATATACAGAGGGAGATTCCACTCTTAAATAAGATATGCTAGCTTATCAAAATTTTTAAGCAGGTAGTCACTTTTTTTGGGGGGGGTGGGGGGTCCAGTTGTGAGGCCTGAACTCTGGGCCTGGGCGCTGTCCCTCAGGTCTTCAGCTCAAGGCTAGCACTCTACCACTTGAGCCACAATGCCACTTCCGGCTTTTTTCTTTATGCTTATGTGGTGCTGAGGAATTGAACCCAGGGCCTCATGCATGCAAGGCAAGCACTTTACCACTGAGCCACCTTCCCAGCCCATCACTTTTATTATTGAAGAAATTAGTACTCCATCTTCCACTCTGGTTTTCATTTTTATTCTTCTGTAGCAATACATCTGAAATTACTAGGAACCTTCATATTTTGTGACAGACCTGCTGAGTCAGTACTTTTTAGCAGTTATGTAACTTTGCTGTCCCAAGATCATATTCTTTCCCTCTCAGCTGCTTTTCTGTGAAACGTAAACCTATTGACCAATATCTTTAGATTAAGATCCTATTTCTACCTTCTAACAACTTAGAACCTTAAATATTATCACATTGTACTCTGAAATAGAGATCGAATCCTGTACTCCGAATTAGAAGTAATGTGTATATAAATTGTAGAACTGAGTGCTTCGTACATAGAAGGCTCAGAAATTGTAGTTATCATGATTAATTACTGAGGTTCTGCATTCCTCAGTATATTCTGATATACTGTAAGAATTGTCTTTCTTCAGTAGTAGAATAGATATTGAGTAACTTAATGGAACTGCATGAAAGATTATAATAGATATTCATTAGTGTCTAGGTTTGTTTGATAATGTGAAACAATACACCCTTCTTTTCCCAACTGAGCAGTTTACTCATCTGGTCAACAAATTTCACTTTCCTGTCGTATACCAGGCTGTTCAGCAAAAATGTCACCATGAAAGTGACATGTAAATAAAGAACTGAAAGAACAATATCAAAGCTGTGTATTTGTTTAGAGGAATATCAGTTGTTCATAAACCAGTCTGGTGTAGCTGATATGTTCAAAGTCACCCAGGAGGCCACTGTGGCTAGAGGAGATAAGGACAGAGACTAACAGGACATAGATCTTTGCATTAGGTTTGTTTTCTTGGCTATAGGAAACTATTAAGGTGCTTTAGAATAATGATACTACATGTTGATTCAGCTGTAATATATAAAAGGTGCTGTAGTAGACAGAAACTAGCAATTTTTTAAGCTATTTCAGTGATTCAGGATAAAAGTGATGGTTTGCAAGGTCAAATAGATTTAAGACATATATTTAAATTTGAGCTATCAAAATTTGCTAGTGATTAGACTTGAGGTGTTCCATAAAGCACTCAGGTATGACTTACCTTGTATTTTAATGTGGGATGTGTGCCATCTTTTCCATTGTTCTCCCAGTATTATGTCTAGTACATGCCTAGTCACCAACAGTTTTATTAAATTAGTTGTGTAATGAATGAAAAAGATCAAGCATTTTTTATGGGGTTTTTTTTTAGCTTTGTTTTTGCTCTTTACCCTTTTTTGTTGGTTGAATTTTCATATTTTAAAAAGCAAATGAACCAGGCAACCGTGGCTCACACTATAATCCTAGCTATTCTGAAGGCTGAGATCTGAGGATCTTCGAAGCCAGCCCAGGCAAGAGTCTATGAGAGCAAATGGACAGATCTACACTTTGCTTATACTTAGTGATTAGTTTTGCCACCTAATTGCTTTCTTGGCTTTTTTATTTGCTTCTTTTTAACTTTTCTTAATGTTTTTCTTAGATACAAGCAGTAGTCAGCCAAAGCCTTTCAGACGGGTAAAACTTCAGACAACATTGAGATTAAGTGTCCGTGGTCGTCAGTTTAACAGACAGAGAGGTAAATTTTTGACATACTGATGATATAATAGAGTATGGTGACATAATAATAAATGAATGGTGTGTTTTCTAATCCTTAAGCTTCCGATTTATTTTTTAAATGCTCTACGGATCAAATAGTTACACCTACGAACATATGATACTTGCTATCAAGCCTATTATACACTGATTTATGTCTTCAGGGCATATAATGAAATAAGCTTAACTTTTATATTTCTTCCTTAAATCGCAAGTGGGATCTGGAAAGTCCAGTGTTGTTGCTATTTGTTCATTGTAACATCTCTGCCTCTGGACATAAAATTGTTGCATATTTTTAATGATCGAATGATATCTTGTGACTTTGTTATAGCTAGTACAAAATAAGAAATCTGAAAAGTACTTGTTTGCTAATGTTCCACTGAAATTATGTTCGTAATATAAAAATATTGTTATAATGAATTCCATTGAACAAGTGGAGGATCTAATAGTTTTATTCCATAATGCTTAGATTTTTTTTATTATTAAAAATGATTCCCTTTTTTTATAATTGCTTTTTCTTCTACAGGTGTAAGCCATGCAATGGGAGGAAGAGGAGGCATAAATAGAGGAAATATTAATTAAATGATATGTAAAATATAATTCCTGTGAATAAGTTTGTCCAATCTGTTTTAGTGTAATAATTATCAGGTTGAAAAACATTTTTGTATTTAAATTGGTTTGCTTATCTCAACATTCTTTATTAATAAAATGTTTCTCTGTGTCGATGTTTATTGTTCTTTTCTTCATTTGAAGAATATGCCTCTTCTTTTGTTGATCCATCTAAGGACAGTTATACCAGACTTTGGAGAGGGTCTGTCCAGAACGAGTAGTAATTGCTCTTGCTGTTCTACTGGGAATATCGATGTTATAGTATTGATCTAAATGGAAGAAAAATAATTTTTTAATTAAAAAGTAAACATTTGAACTAAAAATTTTGTGTTATCATACTCAGTGTTGATCATTTTAATATCACAAATGTTTCATTCATTTGCACTTTCTGACAAAAAATGAATTGCCTTCATGAGTTGACCTTTCAACACCTTTCAGAAAATTATATTCTCTGCCTTTTTGACATGCTTAAGAAAAAGTTATTCTGAAATACAGTTTTCTTGAGATTGATCCTTTCTAAAAAAATACATTGTCTTTAACATTACAGAATCAGGCAAATTCAGTTATGTTTCTGGGCTTTTCAAAGAAAAATGTGTCCTGGGTAATCTAATTTTATTAGCAAAGTTAGTTTCTCAGCAGTGTCTTTCTCACCATATGAACTACGTAATCTATTAGTACCACAGGTGATGAGTGTTCAGTACCAGTACCAAAGGAATAGATGCTTATAATCTCGTGAAAATGTGAGTGGAATTGCATTATAATTGAACTCAATTATTCACTGCAGTTAAGTGATTAGATTTGAGCATCTCACCTTTAGTAACCATTTTATACTTGATGCTTTTGCTTTAATTATACTCATACTTTATTAAGGAAGATCAACTTGAAAAGGTACTAAGATTTTACTTAATAACTTACCCTTAGAAAAGGCGTAGTAATCATAGCCATCAGGTTTTCTAATGTTGGGCAATGTTAAAGCAGTAGTGACCACATTTGGAAACCCTCTCCACATTGTATTCACTTTAACTTCATTGTGGAGGAAGCCTGCAAGTAACATTTTGAATTGACGATATCAAATTAGAAGGCCATCTATGTGATGAAAGGAGTGACTTTAAACAAGATGTATTCATAAACTCCTTTGTGCAACTACTTTTAAGATGATTTTAAAATAATAATTAGTCAAAAGAAGTGGGAAGCAGTCTACAGTCCTAGAAATAGCTGGGGGTTTGGTTTTGCTTTTTTGGGTTTTTTGTTTTTGTTTTTTGTTGGTCATGAGGCCTAACCTCTGGGCCTGGGCACTGTCACTGAGCTCTTCAGCTCAAGGCTAGCACTCTACCACTGGAGCCACAGTGCCACTTCCGGCTTTTTCTGCTTATGTGGAGCTGAGGAATCGAACGCAGGGTCTCATGCATGCAAGGCAAGCACTCTACCACTAAGCCACCTTCCCAGCCCTGTTTATTTGTAGTGCTGGTCCTCATGCTTGAAATCGGGAGATGGGTGCTATCTCTAAGCCTTTTTGCTCAAAGCTCACACTCAGCCACTTGAGCCACCGTTCCACTTCTGGCTTTTTTTGTTTGTTTAAATTTTATTGTAAAAATGATGTACAGAGGGGTTACCGTTCCTTAGGTCCAGTAATGAGTACATTTCTTTTTGAACTGTGTTACTCCCTCCCTCATATTCTCCCAGGTTTTCTCCTCCTGACCCCTTTCCCCCAAGTTGTATAGTTCATTTCCAACATATAATCTAGTGAGTATCACTGCTGAATTGGTTCACCCTTTGCCCCACCATTTCTGTGCTACCCCTTCCCTCCCCAAATCAGATAAACTTACATACAAGAAGAAGGGTACAGAAACAGTGACAAAATGAAATAAACTCATGGGAGAACAAAATAACTGCAAATAGTGCAATAAAAATAAAGTTTCCATTTCAGGGAGTTCATTTCAATAAGCATCATTTTATAGGATCGTATGCACATCACTATTGAACACTTTTGATCCTCTCCTAAGAATATCCTTCATTCTCACTGTGAATGCTTAGAATACTTTTTAATTAATTATGTCCAAGTGTAATTATTTTTCTTTTACTAGCCATTGGATTTGCTTGTAGTTTTTATAGGCACATTCTAATTATTACAAATAAGGGAAACAGACGGGCTGGGAAGGTGGCTCAGTGGTAGAGCGCTTGCCTTGCATGCCTGAGGCCCTGGGTTCGATTCCTCAGCACCACATAAGCAAAAACAAAAAAGCCGGAAGTGGCGCTGTGGCTCAAGTGATAGAGCACTAGCCTTGAGCTGAAGAGCTGAGGGACAGCGTGCAGGCCCAGAGTTCAGGCCCCACAACTGGACCCAAAAACAAAGAATCTCATAGACTTTCCTGCCAAGGCTGGCTTGAAACCACGATCTTCAGATCTCATCCTCCTGAGAAGCTAGGATTACAGGTGTGAGCCAACAGGGCCTGGCAATAGCTGCATTTTAATCTTGCTTTGTTCCCTGTATATTCTCCTTAAGTAAGTTATTTATCTCAGTACCTCAGGTTTTGCCCTCACGTAGCTGATATCTATCTTTTTTTTTTTTTTTTTTTTTTTGTCGGTCGTGGAGGCTGAACTCTGGGCCTGGGAGCTATCCCTCAGCTTTTGGGCTCAAGGCTAGCGCTCTACCACTTGAGCCACAGCACCACTTCTGGTTTTTTCTGCTTATGTGGTGAGGAATCGAGCCGGGGCCTCGTGCATGCGAGGCAAACACTCTACCACTGAGCTACCTTATAGGCCTTGATATCTACCTTTTAAGAATTTTGAGCAATACAGATCTGTATACAGTGCTTTGATAAGAAGTATTTGAGAAATAGTACTTATAATTAACAAATTTGAATAAACTGCTTGCTTTGTCCACAGAGGAAAAGACAGAATTGATACTTGGTTAATAAACTAATATGTAACTTATTAAAAGTATTTGGTCAGTATTTGTATTTAATAAGGTTTTTTGGTTTTGTTGTTTTGTTTTTGTTTGTTTTGAGCCTCGGTGCTGTCTCTGAGCTCTTTTTTTTTTTTTTTTTGTCGGTCGTGGGGCTTGCACTCTGGGCCTGGGCGCTGTCCCTCAGCTCTTCAGCTCAAGGCAAGCACTCTGCCACTTGAGCTACAGCGCCACTTCTGGTTTTCTGGTGGTTTATTGGAGATAGGAGTCTCACGGTCTCTCCTGCCCGGGCTGGCTTTGAACCGCGATCCTCAGATCTCAGCCTCCTGATTACAGGCATGAGCCACCAGCGCCCGGCTCTGAGCTCTTTTTTACTCAAAGCTAGCACTCTTAACACTATGAGCCACAACTCCATTTCCAGTTTTCTGGTGGCTAATTGGAGATAAGAGTATCACAGACTTTCTTATCTGGGCTGGCTTTGAACCACAATCAGCCTCCTGAATAGCTAGGATAACAGGCTTGAGCCACCAGTGCCCAGCTTAGTTTTTAAGAAACAATTACAACTGTTTTCATGGGTAGGAATTTTAAACATGATTTACCTTTATCTTGGTAAGAAACTCTGACAGGTGAAAGGTGAATTCTGATGGTGTGTGTCTGAGCAGGTCCAATAGCCCGTTCAAAGCGACGTCTCCTAACCTGTGCTGCTCCTCCATAGACTGAATAATTTATAGTAGGTCTTCTTCCAGAGCATTTTTGGGTAGGTTCCTGTTTATAAGTGTATTGCTGAATGTTGCCCCCTGTTATATATTAGAAAATCACATAGAATATAAAAGGAGATGTTAATCCTAGAAAAACTAAAAGAACATTTACAATATGAAGGAAATAAATAATTGCTTTTGTATCTTTCATAAAGACCTACCAAGATAATAAATGTTAAATAACTAACAAATTGCATAGTTCTACATAAAATTTAAGTGATGACATCCGTTACATAAATGACCAGAAAACTATGACAAACTGACATGCCTGTCAAGACATCGACCTCTTAGATGGCCTCCATTTTTGTTTTCTTCATTGCAAACATTTGATTCCAGCCATTAAAGATATTTTTTACAGTAAACTGAATGGTAAAATATTGACTAGAAACCAAGTCTTACAATTTTGTCAAGTACATAACACATACCTCTCTTGAAAAAATACACAGATTCAGGCCTGTTCTTGTACTTAGCTACAGAAAGAGCTGCTACTATTTTCCCAGTTAGTCCTCCAAATCCTTTCACAATTGGTTTGGGATACCCTTCATCTTTTATGTCATTAGTGAAACGCCAGTACTGAGAATCCTGGTAATAAAAAGAAAAATTATGTGAACAGCTTGGGGAAAATAAGCTTGGGAACTCCAAATTTAAATGTTTGAATAAGTAGACCATTGAAGTTATTTAATGGTAGAACAGTTTGTTAAAATATGAAGACACTTCAGGATTGGAGGTTAAGATTTGTAATAAACTACAATGACTATAAGATGGTTTCTCATAATGGTTTTTGTTACCTTAAAGAAGAAAGTTTTTCCTTCACAGTTGCATCTGGTAAAAACAGTGTCAATGGGGGAGGGAATACCCCAAACTTCAGTGATTCTTCGGGGTGGGGATGGTGGCCTGAACGGATTGAGCATCCAGAAATAATGACCTAAAATTTAATAAGACATGTCAGCCTCCAAACTGAATACTCAAACCTATCATCAAATCAAGGTGAAGACAACTTCTATGATTATTATAAAGAAAAAAGTATTGATGAAGTATGGCCAAAAGGGATTATTTGAATATTTCTTTAGTAGATATTTCTTTAGTCTGAAACGTAGCAAATCTTTGAAATATTTTAGCTGCTCAGTTTTGCTTGAGAACCTTTTGGCTTTGTAGCTTATCTCTGCATTATCTTTGTAGTCACTTATCTCTCGATTTCCACATCCTTATGTTTTGGAATTAAAGGGTTATGTCTTAAAGACTACTAAAATCTTGTGAACTTTACTGTGTGTATGTTTTGTTTCTTTAAATATGTTCTAAGAAGACTATCAGGGTCCACAGAATTGGCATGAAATAACCAATGGTTGCCTGTCACAGAGTATTAACACTTGTACACGTCACTATTGAGATGTTATTCGCAAAGAAAATTAGGGCAGGCTTACAAATCTTGATGTCATTCCACTTGTGGAATTGAAATGCACACTACACTACCTTTTAAATGCAGACAAAAAAATACAGCTTAGGGTCTATTTTGTTTGCTATATTTGTGTCTAATTTTGTTTATCTAATATTGCTCGCAGATTCTCAGCTGAGGTAGATTTACCATTCAGATTCCTTTCTACAACACGCAACTGAACTAGCACTTTCCAATGAATTTTGTTTACATAAATACCAAAACAAAGTAGAAGTGTGTGCATAACTCACCTCGAAATGCAACTAATGTCCCATTGCGCAAAGTAGTCAGTCCATCTACTGGCTTACCATTACATAAATTGGTCTCATCTAAAACAAATTAACAATGGATTAATACCAAAGAGAGAGAGAGAAGTATATTCTTTCTTATTAACACTTTTAAGCTCTTGAAGGACAGTGGTGGAATTTCAGAAATGAAAGTGATTTCAATATTCTGTCATACCTAAATGTGATACTATTCAAAAGTATCACAATAAAAATAATTGTAAATTCTAATGGGCCAGAATATCTTACTCTTCACATAATTTAAGCATTCATTCATGGGAGATATTTGAACCCATGTCTGTCTTAGCTTTTGAGTTGGTTTGGAAAAGGATATTATTAAGGATAGACTCCTAACTGAATTTTTACATTCTATATGCATCTGTTTATTACACATGCTAGCTTTTGACTGAATTTTCTAAAGACTAAATAGATTTACTGTGATTACTCCTATGCTAACAGGGAAGCTGTTAAACTTCAGAAAATAACGTTAGAAATCTAGATGATGTATCTCTACAGTGATACCAAACAAGGACACTTTTGCTTCAGATACAAATCAACCTAATTTTGGTTGGGTTTTCCCCCCTCTATTTGTTGGCTTTTTGTTTAATTTTGAAAACAGTGTCACTATGTAGCCCAAACTGACCTAGGACTTGCTGTGTAGTTGAGACAGTTAAACTCAACAATCTCAAGTAGGGATTACAGGTGTGCATCATCATGCTCAGCAATTGCCAATTTGAAAAATAACAATGATTAATTCTCATTACCTGAAGTCATGGAATTGATGTAAATGTCTTGATTGGGACCTCTCACGAAGTGATCAGTGCCTGGAATGACTAGAGGAGCTAGCACAGGGGGACTGGGAATCAGGTGAGGGTTTCCAGCTTCCACACCATCACTATCCGCGTCTTCGTTGTTTGGATTTACGCCAGCCAGGTCTGAGTTTGGAGTTTGGCTAGGACTGGTTTGGAGCATGGTTTCTGCTACAGAGGTAGGGTTCAGTTCAGACACCGTTGAAGTCATCTTTGGGGGAGTTGGTGTCGTCTTGGGTTTCTTCACTTTAGGAGTGCTAGGCTTTTTGGTAGAAGTGGGCTTTTTGGGTGCTTTGGCTGGCTTTTTAGGCTTCTTGGGTGCTTTTGTTGGTTTCTGGGGTTTGGGAGTTGTCTTAGCATTAGTAGTTGTCTCTTCTGATCCTGGAGTTGTTTCTTCAGGGTTGTTCATGGTCTCTTCAGCTGCAGTAGTTACTTTGGGTTTAAGAGTAGTAACTTTAAGTGATGCATCTTGAGGAGCGGTGGGTTTTACTTGCATGGTTGTGCTTGTTTTGGATTCCGTAGTTTTTTCTTCTGTGGTTGTTGTCTCTTTAGTTGTCATCTTAGGTGTAGCAGGGGTGGTAGGTATGTCTTTTTCTGTTGTCTTGTCTTTACCTACTGTTGTCATCTCAGGAGATTTCGTTGTTAATACTGCAGGCTCTTTGGGACTATTGTCAGGAGCCTTCGGTGTGGGATCTGCAGGAAATTCAGGAGTTGCTTCGGGATTTTTCTGAGTAGTAGAAGGCTCTGTGGTGGTGGTTGGGGCTGGTGTCTTAGGAGAACTTGGAGCAGGTTTCTCAGGGGTAGTGGGTACAGGTTTCCTGGGAGTAGTGGGGGTGGGGGTGGATACAGGCTTCTTCGGAGTGGTAGGTGCAAGCTTCTCAGGGGTGATAGGGACAGGCTTGGCAGGGGTGGTGGGTGCAGGCTCTTCAGGGATGGTGGGCACAGGTTCCTTGGTGGTGGTAGATATGGGCTCTTTGGTAGTGGTGGGAGCTGGTTTTTTGGTGGTTGTGGGTACAGTCTTCTCAGAAGTGGTGGGAGCTGGTTCCTTGGTAGTGGGTGCAGGCTCTTTAGGGGTGGTGGGTGCTGGTTCTTTGGTGGTAGTGGGTGCAGGCTCTTTAGGGGTGGTGGGTGCTGGTTCTTTGGTGGTAGTGGGTGCAGGCTCTTTAGGGGTGGTGGGAGCTGGTTCCTTGGTAGTGGGTGCAGGCTCTTTAGGGGTGGTGGGTGCTGGTTCTTTGGTGGTGGTGGGTGCAGGCTCTTTAGGGGTGGTGGGTGCTGGTTCTTTGGTGGTAGTGGGTGCAGGCTCTTTAGGGGTGGTGGGTGCTGGTTCTTTGGTGGTAGTGGGTACAGGCTCTTTAGCGGTGGTGGGAGCTGGTTCCTTGGTAGTGGGTGCAGGCTCTTTAGGGGTGGTGGGTGCTGGTTCTTTGGTGGTAGTGGGTGCAGGCTCTTTAGGGGTGGTGGGTGCTGGTTTCTTGGTGGTAGTGGGTGCAGGCTCCTTGGGGGTAGTGGGAGCTGGTTCTTTGGTGGTAGTGGGTGCAGGTTCTTTGGTGGTGGCAGGCAGATCAGGGGCTTTGGTTGTCATTTCAGCTTTGGGTGTAGGCTTCGCAGGAACTTCAGATGATTTCTCTGCACTTCGTGTCTCTTTAGCTGAAGTAGTCTTCTCTTTTGCACTGGTAGAAGTCTGTTTGTTTGTGGCCGTACTCTCTTTAGTTGTAACTGTAGTCTCTTTATTGTTTGTGGAAGATGCCTCTTTGGGTATGTCAGACTTAGGTGGAAGACTGGGTTTAGGATTTACTGGTTTCACTGGGGTAGTAGTAACGGCGGGAGTTGGGGTGGGCTTGGAATCCCCATTGTCCAGTCCACTTCCAGCATCATCTACCACTGGTGGTTCTGGCTTAGGGTTTTTTTTAGGACTTTTCTTGTCTTTTGCTAGGGAGAAAAAAAATACATATTGTTAAATTTCTTTGATAATTCTTGCCTTTAACACTGACCCGAAGATTTCATCCTTTTCACTGAGTAGTTGTGTGTCTCTAGGCAAATTCCTAATCTTGAATATGTCCATTAATTTATCTTGAAATGGTACATACTTAAACTATCTTTGGGGGACTGCTTTTGAGAATGAACGAATGAGACAAGGAATAAATCAATCAAGTAAAACACTGCATAATTAATACCTAGAAGGAAGCAAGGGGCAACTTTGATGATATTAATTTCTTTAATTTCTTTCTATTAATGTTCCTTACACTTCATTTTTCTCTGCCCCTTTCCCCTTATTCCTCATTGCTCTTTCCTCCTGGAAGTCTAGTCCCAATCTCAGTTACCAAAGAAGCCTCAGAGGGTCAACCTTCATATTTAAAAGATTTTTGCTGCCCCTGTTCCATTACATAGGGGCTATTAGCTATTCTCTTTCCTCTGCCCTGGTAAATGACACTTCTGGGGAGCATAGACGATTTGGATGTCTGGGCAGTAAAAGAACTTCACTTAAGATTTCCCAGAGCAGCTACCCAGTAGATGAACTAGAAAGTCTAAAGGACACTGCTCTGAGATGAATTTGATTTGGCAAGCATGCATTGTACTTCGATTGTGAGCAAGATCTTGGAATGATTCCAAGATTAAATATGTGGCTGTTTAGCTAAAGAGGCTGCTTCAGCTTCTACAACCACCTAGGAAATAGAATTCTTCAAAACTCCAGTATTCCCTAGAGAAAAAGAATGCATTTTAGAATTTGGGGAAAGATAAAGATCAGAACAGAGAAGACTTTCTTCTCAGAAGGCAATAGCCTACTTCTTGGCACGTTCTTTCCAGAGAGAAGTCAGTCAGATGTAATAAGTAATTATTACGAAATAAAGATGATCTATGAAGTGTGGATAATCTAGCCTTTCCATAGATGTTTTTGAGAAGGATTGGTAGATGTAAAACACTTAAAGCACTATGTAAATTGTTAAGCTGGAAAATGAAGATGAGAGCTGCCAGAGAATGGAAGGAGGGAGGGAGGACACAGAATGATTAGGCAGATAAAAGTCACAATCGAACACCACAGTCACCATTAGGTGGTTTCAATCACTGCTACAGCATCTTCCAGAGTGGTTTCTTAGCTGCTTGCCATTAATTTCCTGTAGGAGTATTCATTTGGCAATACCTAACATGATTTTTACAATGGACCCCCCCCCCCCAAGTATTGTGCTATCCTCAAATCATTCTACCAGTACATAGTACTTTGAAAAGGTTGTTGTTAACGTGGCATTGATATAGTCTTTGATCTTTATCAATGCTCAAACCTTTGGGTTTCTTCTGTAATTCTCTATTAGCAGCTGAATTTTTGGAAGACTTGACTTTCCGAATACTTGAAGAAGAAGAGGAAGAGGAGGAGGAGGACTCTTGATTTTCAGAGACAGAATGTTCTATAAATCAAATAAAAAGTTTCATCACACCAACAGCAAGTAAAGAAAAAAAAACCTGCCAGTCCAAACATACAAAGAATTACTGGTAATTCATTTACAAATATCAGTGCTGTTTTTTTAAAATCTTATTGAGAATGTGATTAACTGTTAAAAGGCCAGGCTTCTGAGATTATCACACAGACTAGTAAGATAATTTTAACATTTGCCAAAATTTGTCACTGAACCTACTCTAGAAAAAAAAGTGAGTTCATATATTTTTTTTGTTTTTGCACTAAAATTTTTCCCTTCTGATTACTTCAACATAGTCCATGCTGGGTTTTTATAACAAAGACTATAAAACCTGAGGGTTTATACTTTGTTTAAACTTCAACCTAACTCAAGTAAACAAATGTATAATGAGCCTTAGATGACTCATAAATTACCCGTTCAGAATACTCAGATGTGTATTCCTCCTACAGGTTATTTCATCTAAGAAATCTCCTGTAGTTACATCTGATATCTTCCTACCTTCTGTTATTTCCTCTGACTCTACAACTTTCTTAGTCTTCTTTTTTGGTGATTTGGGTGAGCGTTTGGTGGTGGATTTGATGGTTTGAGATGCTTCTGGAGGCGGAGGTGCAGTCTTTGAAGGTGGTGGAGATGTGGGGTTATGCACTGAGGCCAAGCAAGACAGGTAGTTAACATCCAGTTTATATTCATTGCAGTGCTGAGAACATGGGTGCATCTGGTTTTGAGAACAGATCGTAGCAAGAGCCATTGCAGGAGGGCTCTTGCCCAACATGAGTAACTCCAAACAACTAACAGGATATATTGTTATCAAATACTGATTCACAAATTTTGGTCATTTGTGACAGCAAACCAAGTCTCAGGAATCAAAAGCCCTAAATCCCAGTCTTAGGCTTCTAAGTGTCTACCATTACAATCTTGTGAAAATAGCTAGACTTCACTTGAAAATCCATGTCCTTATTTTCAAACTGAGAAAATTCAAATTATTATTCAAATTATTCAAGATTTCTGAAAGTATTTGTCTGCCCCAAAACATGACAGTATGAGCTTCATTCAATTGGATGTCCTTGTACAATTATAAAAAGTATACATGTGGATGACAGAATACCTCATTTCTTGACAAGAGAAGTACATTTTTCCTATCATGCATTCGATTTAAATCACCAATTTACTTTGTTTTTATTCCAAAAGTTCTATATGAATATTCTGAAATGTTTATGCCTATGCCTACATGCTTTTCCTCAAAATGTATTGCCTTTCCCAAGGAGAAACAACTTAATGGTTTAATATATATATCTTCTTTTATCCCCATCCCTCACTTCTTTTCATGTCTGGAAGAAAAGACATGGAATATTTGGGATCAGTAGGAACTAGAAGAAAGGAGAGGATTTCTGAAAGGTATGAAAACAGAGAGCAATGAGAACTCTCTGAGTAGAAAAGACTTGCGATGAATCCTGCTGCTCCTAGCAACATCTCCACTCCTTTGTGTCACCAAGATGGTTCTGTCATGTACTAGTTAGTGAATTGGGGCAAACAGTTAACCTACTGGGCTGCTTCCTCACCCACATTTGGACACACTTAGCTGCTGTGACTCCTCAATGTTATGATGCTTAGATAGGTAAACAGTGTGACAAACCTCATAAATTCTGTAACTGAAGTTACTTTAGTGCCTTCATCAATTGATTTCACTGAATTCTCCCTAAACCCCAAGTATATGCTTGCTTGCTTTCTCTCTTTCTCTTCTTTCTTTCTCTGTCTTTCTTTTTCTTTTTTCCGTCCGTCCTTCCTTCCTTCCTTCCTTCCTTCCTTTCTTCCTTCCTTCCTTCCTTCCTTCCTCCCTCTCTCTATTTTTTTCTTTATTTCTCTTCCTTCCTTCCATTCTTTCCTGTGTGTGTGTGTGTGTGTGTGTGTGTGCGTGCGTCCTGGTCCTGGGGCTGGAATTCAAGGCCTCACACTACCCATTCGCTTTTCATTCATGGCTAGCACTCCACCACTTGAGCCACAGCCCTATTTCTGACCTTTTGGTGGTTAGAGATGAGAGTTTCTCACAAATTTTTCTTCCTGGGCTAGCTTCCAAATGAGATCCTCAGATCTCAGCGCCCTGAGTAGCTTGGATTATGGGCAAGACCTACCTATGCCCTGATCAAATATGATCTTTAAGATATTCTTTCAGTTCTCTCTTCAGTGCTCTAACCAGCTTCCCTCACCACCTATATCCTCACAAAATAAACTGTAGTTTGGTTTACTTAATTTGTCTTGGCCATAATACCAAAAATCAAACAAAAACAACCAAATCAGAGTAATGAGTAAAAATGTATACCCCCTTCTGTCAGCCACAGGAATGCTGAGATCTAAGGGTTTTTTTTATTATAAGGGTGTTGTCTCCATTATTTTTGGAACATGTTCCAATAAAACATCGACAGTGAAGAAGCATCCTCAACCCCACTGAGTAACAGTTTTCTACTGGTTCTCTGTCATTTGAAAGAAGCAGGAGGTTCAGCCTTGTGTAACTAAAATGATAAGATTATGCAAGACATACTTATTTTTACTTTTACCTCCCTGAAACAATCTCATTTTAACCAAGTAGGATTGAAGAATAAGCACTGGTAAGAGAAAATAATCTATTAATCAAATATATTTAATTTTTTGAGTATCTGGAAGGTTTTGTTCAGACTCTTAGAGTATTTCTTCAGGACTTACGTGAGAGAAACATTTTAAATGAAATTATCCCTTTGGGGTCTTACCACACCCTGGCTTTGCATAGATAGGACTTCAAGAGAAGGAAGAAATACTTGACAGTAGTATTTTAGTAGATTTGTCTGTAAATTCACTGACTTATTCTAATTCACAAAGTCACTTATTCAAAGAAGTGGTTGGATTTGGCCTTAAATATAGATTCAAATGCTGAGCTTAAAAAGCACGTACTGCTCAAAAATAGTGAGCTTGGTGGAGTCAGTACTAGTAGGATGTGACAATGAAACATCAAGCGTGCTAATTACTATCCATTAAACCTCAAATTGAACCACCTCTCTGTTACTCAACCAGCAATCTCTTGTATTCCTGGAACCTGACTGGTCCTTTTAAAAGACACTTTTTTCTCATGCATTTTTTTGTTGTATTGTAAAGGTGGCAAACAGAGGGATTCGTTACATAGATCAGGTAAAGAGTACATTTAGAAGATGCTTTTTTCTTTTATTCATCTTCATGACAAAGAAATTATAAAATAGACCAGGCACCAGTGGCTCACACCAGCAATCCTAGCTACTCAGGAGTCTGAGATCTGAGGATTCCAAGTTTGAGGCCAGCTGGGGCAAGAAAACCCATGAGTCTCTTATCTCTAAACACCAAAAGAATGGATTCAAGTGGTAGAGTGCCACCCTCGAGCAGAAAAAGCTAAGGGACAGCATCTAAGCCCTGAGTTCAAGACCCAGAACCAGCACACACACACACACACACACACACACACACACACACACACACAATTATAAAATAGCTTCTACATTAGTACAATCAGGTCTTGGGATGTATCGCATGCTGGATGGTCTGAGCAGCGTTAAAATGAGCACACAGACCAGGCTGTGCTGAGGAGCACTGGGGGAATCTTGCCATGCTTACGTTCTTCACAGAAGTTCTCGTAGTCTGCACAGCACTTGCCAAACTTCTTACACTGGGAGTCACAGTCGCACTCCCTTCCGCGTGCAAAGGACTCGAAGCAGCGACCTTTACAGGAAAGCTCTACCCAGAGCAAAACAAACAAGATGGATCATTGGTTATGAAGCCATACATCCATTTTTGGCGGCCATTTCCCACCTGACAGCTGGCTACAATTTCAAAGGTAATTTCTAAGCCTTTTATTTGAAATTTGAAGAACATGATCCGGTTCAAAAAAAAAAAAAAAAAGAAAGAAAGATGGTATCCATAATAGAGATATCCCAAGTCAAGGAACTATAATGAGTTAGGGAACCATTCCTTGCCCTTTAAGATACCAAAAGAAACAGAAACCCCAGTGTTGTCTGACTCATTTACACTGATGGACAATAGAAAATGGAGAAATGTCTAAATAGTGATTACCCTGCATATGAACTCTTTCCTTTCTCTCCTCACACCACTGGTCATTTACAATGATTGAATTTCATATCTTAACAACGGTAACCCCCCCCCCCCAAGCTTGCCTAATACAAATGAGTATTGTTCAGGTAGAAAAAGTATTTATAATGCAGAGGGCCTTTATTGTGACAAAGTGGGCTCAGTGTGAAGTTGAAAATATTCAGCCTAATCCAATGGGATTAAAGAAACCAGCCTTGCTGGGTGCCAATAGCTCATGCCTAGTACATCCTAGCCAATCAGGAGGATGAAATCTGAGGCCTGTGGTTCAAAACCAGCCCAGGCAGGAAATTTTGTGAGATTCTTATCTCCAATTAACTACCAAAAAGCCGGAAGTGGAGTTGTGGCTTAAGTAGAGTGCCAGCCTTGAGTGAGAAGACTAAGGTACAGCACCCACACACTGAGTACTGGCACACAGGTAATTTTTTTTAAAGACAGGCCTGCTATTGCTAAATAAGCTTTGTTTGAAGAGACAGTGACTTACCCAAGTTTACTTACAATAATTACTTTACTTGACACATACTTTATACCATATTATATTAGATATCTTTAAATGCAAATTCTAGAGCAGATATAACTTATACGTTTTTAATTATAATTTTCAAAGATGAGTGTGAAATTTGTCTTTGTCAATATAGCAAAATGGTCCAAGTGAAATATTCAAGCGAAATACTTACTTAAAATTCAGCCTTTTGGGAGTACTAACTGAAATTCATCATAAAAACAAGTACTCATCTTTAAAGTATCTTTTAAGTACTAGAGCAAACAGGAGAGTTCTAGGCCATGATTTTTTTTTTCTTTTTTTGAGATAGGGTCTCACCAGGTAGCCCAGGCTTGCCTTTTGCTGGAACTATTTGAAAGACCTTATCACTACACAATTACATATCTAATTGTTAGCAAAGAATTATGGATTATTTTTACTGAATGACTTCTCAGATACAGTATTCATTCCCCAACTTAAACAATTTAGACAGGACATTTTCCTTGGAGGTAGGCAAGAGCTGGCTCCCGCAATTATCACAAGCTTTGATACCATCCTTAGATACAGTGCACTGCAACATTTACACCAGTGAAGAGAAAGGTATTAAGCAAAGGAGGTAAAACAGGGGGAGAACAGTACTGCATGAAGGCGGGGGAAGGAGAGCCCGGGGAAGCTCACAGAACATTGATGCTGACAGAGTTGACACCAGCTTTCAGGACTTACCTACGGTGCAGACTTTCTTGAAATCAGGGCAGCACTCCATGTAGTGTTGACAGTTATAATCACAGTTGCAGGTGGCATCTCTAGAATACCCTTCCCCACATCTCCCTGTACAGCTTGATAAATCTAAAATCACACAATACTAGTGTAAACAGGGCCAAACCACTGATAAAAGGGAAATCTCAAATAAGGGGAGACGAAGCCAATTGACAGGGAAGAGGGGAATTTTGCTGATTGGAAAATGTTGTGAATGACAGTTGCCCTAGCAGATAATTGGCCAAATACATATCTGACTTTATTTTTCACTAGATTGAGAAGATGAACACACCTTTAAACATCAGTGTTTTTCCTTTTTCTGTTTTTTTTTTTTTTTTACCATGAATAACTCCTCCCCAGAGGGGAGGGGGCAGCTACTGCTGTTATGATGATCACCAGATTACCAGGAGCCATTTATTGAGCATCTCCGTGCCAGGCACTGACTCAGACAATGTCTCTATTACTTGTGATGATATTTCCAGGAAAGTATTAGTAACATTTTTTAGATATTAAAAAATAACCCAAGCAAATGTTTAATAGTTTGCTCAGTGGTACACAGCTAGTTATGGGTTCCATTGTATGTGATATACAGATCAATTTATTACTTATTAATTACTTCTACTGATCCAGTTACACTTGACACAAGTGTCCTGATTTGGATAATAAATTATAGGACCATTCTAAGTAAGCAGCCCATCCAGAATTGGAACTCTTATCTACCTCATTATAAAACCTGAGGGCTTTTTTTTTTTCTATCCAGTTTCATTGCCTTTTATTCCCAGTGATGAGTTTAAAGGAAGCTGCTTATGCCAGCTCCATCCTTCCTGTGTGCTCTCCTGCTTGATAGCACTCTCAAGAACCCTTCAAAAACACATCTGGGCATGGAGGTCATGAACTTGAAGGGTTCTAGGCAGATGAGCAATGGTGAAGGCATAATTATCTTCAAATATTTCTAGGCCTCCTCTGGAAAACAATCTGAAAAGCCTCCCTGAGAGATAACCACAGGAATGTAACCTTGGAATCCATCTCTGGAATAGAAATTGGCAGGTGCAATGTCCTAAATCCATAAACGGATGTTGAAATACACTGAAAAAAAATCTCAAAAGAAGAGAATCCAGGAAAGTTAAAGTCTTAATATGAAAAATAAAACATTAAAGAGCAGGATAACTTTCAGAAAAACTTGCATACATACATACATACATATGTGCACAATACATACAAAAATGCATATATAGTGTATGTATATAGATACATATATTATATATAAAGAAAAGGAACATGAATAGGTTGAGAAGGCAAGAGAAGCAGACAAAACAACATCAAAAGTTTATTCTTTTATATTTGGCAGATTTCTGAAATGCACCAACTTCCAAAACTGAAAAAAAAATGTCTTTTTTCATAGATATCTGCTTTGTTCTTATTGCTAGCAGTGCAAAACTTTCAGAGAACAAGCAATTGTACCAGAGAGGAGAATATGGTTTAGGGGACATCCCCTGTGTTGTGAGTTACAAAATACCCTAGGGGAGCGAGGAAAGGACTAGAGATACAAGAATAACCCTCAGAGCTAATTAAATACTTAGATTTGCTTCCTGTGTTTTCCTGTCCTTTCTGATCTGAGTAATCTGCTACTTTCATTAAAACTTCAGGGACTTTTTTTTTTTAAATCCTAAATGTCTACTTGAGTGATATAACCTCTTTGTAATCATCAATGAGGCTGGATTTTCCTTCATTCACCTTTTGAATAACAAAAGACAATTTCAACCTAAATCTCATGAGACACTTTTTCTATTTTACAGCGTATTTCTTCTTTGCCATTTTTTTTTTTTTTGTGCTGGTCCTAGAGGCTTGAACTCAGGGCCTGAGCACTATGCTTGAGGGTTTTTGTTTGTTTGTTTTCTCTCAAGACTAGCTTGCTATCACTTTATCCACAGCTCCATGTTAGGCTTTTTTGGTGGTTAATTGGAACTAAAAGTCTCACAGACTTTTCTGCCTGGGCTGGCTTCCAACTGTGATCCTCAGATCTCAGGCTCCTGAGTAGCTAGGATTACAGGTATGAGCCCCTGCTGCCCAGCTTCTTTTGTATTTTTAATGTTACACATAATATATATTGTCCAAAAATGAAAATCAAGAATTATTTAACTAGAACTACTCTAGGGAACATTGTGAATAGCACAATATCATAATAGAAAATGATTTTATATCTGTGCAAGCCTCTATCCAGAAGAATAGCTTTTATAAAAGAATGCTTCAAATAAATAAAATTCTTTTTGAAACCTTATAAATGCTCATTATAATATGATTTCTATGTCTACCTGTTGTCAAAATAAGTTGTTTCTCAATAATTTATTTATAAGAAAGCTTAGTTATATTTATTTGGAAAAATATATACCAAAATATGCTATTTAAATATAACTTTCCAATTACTTTGATGATATTACATAGCCCTAGCATACTTATATCATGGGAATATCTGAATGTTTTTTTAACTTTTGGGAAAACCATAGAACAGTACCAAAATTGTTGTACACAAAAGCTCAAAACTTCTGGAAAGATTTCATAATACAGGAAGAAAAAGTGAAAATTCATCATCATTTATAAGTATGTCACAGATATTTTCATTTCCACAGTGAACAGTATTAAACTCAAACACATAGAAAATTTTTAGAAGCCTATTTCCTGTTACAAAAATCCAAACTGGCTGATCACTGTGCAATGAAAGTGGTTTGGTGGCTCAGGTACCTTGAGATGAAACTTGTTCAATCAAGGAAGCAGAAAGCAGCAGCAGGAAGCAAATGGGAAGTAGTTTCCACACCATGGTTGTCTTGAGGTACTGCACCCTTGCTGGAAATCAAACGAAAGTATCAGAAAACTGCTTCTTCCTCTCACCACAGAGTGATGTGTGTGTGCTAGTCACACCATTCCAGTGACTTTCAATGTAATGTTGAAACCATTTCATTCCGGACACAAAACTAAAAAGTAATAAGCTCGAATTCCAGAGAAAATATTTGACCATTATATTTAATCTTATGCAGAGCAATCATCAAATCACCTTATTCATATTATTAACCAATTTAAGACTTTAGAAGACTCTTGAAAATGGCAAACAGATTTATCTTAAAACTCTATTCAAAGTATAACTAGTACTTACACTGCAAGGTTTAAATCCTGCCCCGGGGGAAAAAATAACTAGCCGCAATAAAATTTAAGAAGCATAGCAAAATTATTGTTCCAACTTTCCTTTAACTCTCAATATAAGTTTACTGTAGGCTTTTAACAGGTGTATTACATAAATCTTATTCTCTCAAACTTTTTTTCCAATTACTTTCCTTATAAATCTTTTATAAACACAAGCAATACAAACTCATTTAATTCTACGTAACTCATCGACTAGGACACTTACCCACAAATGGACAGATGAATTTCTCCAATGTCCTGGAGGTCTTATATACCAGTGCAATTAGGTTGGGATGAACCAATTAGTCTAAAGGTTAGACAAAATCAACAGTGACAACCTATGAAATCAAGCTTTCCTCATTTATTGGAACAGGGCCCAGACAACTAGACTTGGGCAACATCTGGAAAACACTTCCATTAAGAAAAGTGACTACTACAAAATAAATTTAGATTTATTGGCCAAAACACATTTCTAATTTCTAAGGGAAGTAGACAAATTGTTCTGAGATGGTAAATCACCCTGGCAAGCTTCAACTAATGTATCAAAGTAACCACTTTAAAATAATTAAATAATGATATCCTTCCTTTCCAAATAAATCTAGCAACGGTAGTTTTTAAACTTATCTAAAAGCCTTATTTGGAAAAAAAAAATGTGTTGAAAGTCCATTATAGTGCCATGTGCCTTTAGTCCCAGCTATTCAGGAGGCTGAGAGAGAAGGATCAAGCCTAGCTTGTACACAGAAGTTCCAGCCCAATCCTGACAACAAGACTGCAATGATACTTTCCTTAGTCTCTGTATATAAAATCAGTATTGTTTGGAAAAGATCTCTCACATTGTTAGTTTAGCTTCATTGCCACAGAGGAAATGTGTATTATCAACTTCACATATTTTCTTTTTTTTTCTTTGTTTCTTTTTTTAAATTTTTATTTATTTTTTATTGTGAAAATAGTGTACAGAGGGGTTACAATTACATGGGCAAGATAATGAGTACATTTCTTATCAAGCATGGTAGCCTCCTCCTTTGTTTCCCCTTCCCATCCCTTCTTAGCTCCCCCCCCCACTCCCCCACCTAATCCTCCCCCCCCCACCAAACTTCACATATTTTCTTTGTGTGTGTGTGTGTGTGTGTGTGTGTGTGTGTTGTGGCTACCACACACAAAACAGTCTCCTGGAATACTTCACATATTTTCATCTACATTTAACACATAAAATGGCAAAGTCTTTCAATCGAAAACTTTGTTGCCCATCCAGAGACTGATAAGGATTAGGAGCCCAAAACAAAACTTGGACCCATGACTTTGCACTTCAAGTTCCATCGTGTTTCTATTGTATTCAGCTACTTTTTGATTAAAACCATTACTTCAGTACATCATCACTGCATTAGGGCATACTGTTTCATAGTTACCTAGACACCAAGCCTTTTGAAAGACAGAAATTATAATATAAACATCTCTTGATTCTTATAAGGCTTATTTCTGGACTAAATGTATACAGAAACAATTTAGACGCTATTATATGAGTAGATTTTATTTTTGGAATGTGGAAGTGTTTATATCTATCTGTTTATCATCTAGCTAGCTAGTCTATTATCTATTTGAAGAACTGACTTTTAAACTCAGATGAAACATTCGAGGCAGGTGCTTTCCCATTTGCACCATGTCATAGTCTTTTTGGCTTTCTTCATTGTTTTGAATAGTGTCCCCCATTATGCTGAGACCAGCCTGGACTGTGATCATCCTACTTATACTTTCCATACATCCAGGATGACAGATATGCTGATTGGTTGAGATGAAATCACATGAATTTTTGCCCAGGCTGGGCTGAGCTACTGTCCTCAGCCTTTGTAGTCATTGGGATTATAGGCATGAGCCATTAACTCTAAAATATATATTTTATAATTGGAACTAGACACTCCATTTGGGTAGTATTGGGCCCATTAACCTTTCTTGCTGATCGCATAGTAATTGTCCCACTAGGATATAAGTTCTCCCTTTGAGATTTTCTTATTGAAAGTATTTTGTTAATATTCATTTAAATGTTACTCATTTGGGACAAAATATCTCAGAGTTTATTTTTAATGTGGAGGAGATGGGTAAAGGATAGTAAAGAGAGATAGAGGGGATTTACATAGTACTACATCCTATTCTCATCTTCTAGTTTCATATGGTTCACCTTCATAAACATCAGTTCTGTACTTGTCAGCAATGCACTGGTGCCCTCCACAAGACTATTCAAGGGTATTTATGGGCATTTTCTCTGAATTAAGATTATCCTAGACTGCTGTAATTTTTATTTGATATGTTCCTTCTTCAAGCCTGCTGTTAGCAGCTAGTTTAGTGTCCGTGCCTAGTTGTTTTCCTCCACCTTTCCACATCTTGAGTTTCTTTCCAGAACTAGCATAAGAAGACCGAAGCATTCAAAGCAACTGCACATATGCAGATTTGTAATGGCCTGCCTGGCTTGTATACAGATATGCTGTACTCTAGAAGTGGACTATCTGCTTTTCTCTCCGGTGGAATAGAGCCCGGGGCTTTGGAACTTCTGTCCATTCAGTTCAAGGCATTGTCACATACTGGAAAGGATCATTACATTTTCACATAGAGGTTTGAACAAAAGTTTATCCATTAAATCAGTGGAAGTATTGTTGTATTTGCTTTTGGAGATTGTGGCAGTCTAATGATGGCTCTACATCTTTTTTCCCTAGTCTAGGTATCTCTACATCAACCTCTGTTGAGGTAGATATGAGAAGTATGAATATAATGAGAAGCATAACTTCTACTCTGTTTCTTAACAGGAAATTGACCTGGACTTCCTCTCTTCTCCCCTCTAGAACAATGGAAGGCAGGTATCAGAGACCAGCCTTGAATATGAATACAAGGACAGCAGCCTGGGGAATATATGAAGGTCTTGCACACAGTCTCACTCTCTGCATAAGAGAAATTTACCAAAGGAAATACATTTCCATTAATACTCAAGGATCTTACATTTAAGATCCTTTAGAGCAGTATTCTAGCTAATGTAGAAATCACAAGAAATTCCTTAAAAGTCTAAAGGAATGAAATTAATTGATTTCTAAACATAAATGAATGCCTAGGTTGGGACTTAAAACAGAAAGTGCTCAATAAAGACTGTCATCATTACAAAGACTGATTTTATAATATACCATAATATAAACAAATGAATGATTGGTAGAAATCTAAATGTAAAGGAATGATCTATTGATAATGACTTATTGCTATTGGAAAAGGAGGGGGCAGATTATTTATTTGCAGATTGCATGGTTGTATGTGTTAAAACTCCTGAAGTACCTATAAAACTATAAAATTTATAAAAACTAAGGAATGAGTTTAGCAATATTAAAGATCAGTATAAAAATCCACATTGAGGGTCTGGGAAGATGGCTCAGTGGTAGAGTGCTTGCCTTGCATGCATGAGGCTCTGGGTTCAATTCCTCAGAACCACATAAGCAGAAAAAGCCAGAAATGGTGCTGTGGTTCAAGTGGTAGAGCGCTAGCCTTGAGCTGAAGAGCTGAGAGACAGTGCCCAGGCCCAGAGTTCCGGCCCCATGACTGGCAAAAAAAAAATCCACATTGAGTTATTTTAATGCATCAAATTATATGTATAATAGAGAACTTTTTCTGTAGAATTTTATAAGAATAATAGCTCATTCATTGAATTCATTCATTTATTCAATTTTTATGAACAGCTGTCAGTGCTTATACCTGCTAGTATTAATAATGGCTGCAAATGCATGTATATGCAATATAACAATCTAAGACTTCTTGGCTAGTTAAAAAGGCATTTAATCAAATAGTTCAAATACCATATGAAAGTAGAAAGCAGTGTGATAAACAGCTAGAATTTGGCTTTGGAATAAGTCAACTCTCAACTTCAAAATGTCTACCTTGTGGGGGTCATATCATTCTCTGAATTAGCTCAGTCTCATTTTTTTTTATTTGAAGAGGAGTAGCAAGGTAAGTGAGGGGTACACATAAGGTAAGAGACATGTTGGACATTTGTGGCACATGCTCAGGAAATTGCAGGTATAACAGTTGTGGTCATAATTATTAAAACGACACACAAATAGCTATGCAAACATGGAGGGACTCTACCAGAGGAACTCACTGATGAATGATACTCTGTCTGGCATTTGAAGGCTCTTATGTTTAAGAACAATGACAATCACGCAAAGCATGATAATAAAAATAGTATAGCTCTACTTGTTTAGCTCCTGATAGTCTGGCTTATTCTTCCTCCATAAACAGAAGTTTGGAGAACTAGAACAAAATGACTTCATAGCTGGGCTGTAGCTCATGCCTGTAATCCTAGCTACTCAAAAGGCTGAGATCTGAGTATCATACCAGGCAGGAAGGTTGGAGACTCTTATCTCCAATTAACCACCAAAAAAGCCAGGTGTGGAGCTGTGGCTCCAATGGCAGAGTGCTAGCCTTGAGAGAAAAGCTCAGGGACAGTACCAGGTTCAAACCCCAGGAGTAGTATACACACACACACACACACACACACACACACACACACACACTAATTTCCCAGTAGCCAACATGAGTAATTTCAGCAGGACTATTTACATGAGTGAAAATGAATTGGGGTGCTATAAATCAGTGTGACAAATACTTGAGAATTGGGAAATTCACTGAGTAGGAAGAAGCAAAGACTGGGTGTGGTGGAAAGATAGGTGACTTAAAATGAGAATCTCTTGAGACATTTCACTGAGTCACTCTAAAGCAGGACACCAGGGTTTTTAAAGACAATTGAACATAATACAGTTTTGGCTGATTGCACAGAATTTTGTCATAATCACTTTTAAATCCCTCTCTCACTAAAGTGGTAGCCAATTTCTGTCCAAAGCATCAAGAAAAAGTACATTTGCAATGTCCTCTCTAAAGCTTTTCTTAAGCTTGATATAGAAAAATCCAATCAGAGGTTTAAAATAAAACTCAGCAATTCCTCCTTGTTTACCTTTAAAAAATTGACTTATATGAAACCAGACTTTGTGTGTGGGCACACTCATGTACATGTACATATGCCAGTACTAGGGCTTGAACTCAGGGCATTGAGTTCTTACTTGGATTTTTGCTCAAGGTTGGTACTCTTACCAGTTGAGCCAAGCCTCCACTTCTTCCTTTTTGTTCATTGGAGATAAGAATCTCACCAACATTTCTTCTCAGGCTGGTTTTGAACCACAATCCTCAGATCTCAGCCTCCCAAGTAGCAGGAGCCACCAAT